CAATCCTCATTGGGAAAAAATGAACAACCACATACTAGCATCAACAACAGCATAACTAGCATGTATATCAAAATGGCAAACATAACGGTTCAATCGAAAATCAACGACTTCACATTAATCCAACGAATCACAAGGTTGGACCATAAGCACGATTCAAGACTCATAATCCTATCATGGATACTTAGGACACCATTCTAGACATACGAAACATCAAAGGAGACACACAATTGCACAACGATTCAACAAAACGGAGGCCAAAGCATCACGTACCAGTGAGCGGAACGGTGGGTGGACAACCACCCGCCACTCTCCCATACACGTACCAGCGGGTGGAACCACGGGTGGGCCTCCACCCGCGGCTCTGCCCGCCGGTCCTTTTCCTTCCACCCTCGGGTGGAACGGCGGGTGGACAGCCACCCGTTGTTCCGCCCGCGGGTACATACCTGTACCCACCAATTTCCCTTCAGGGAAAAACATCAACAAAGCCAAGTTCAAGTCCAAAATACCCAAAACCTCACATTCAACAAAGAAATGACTTGAACACATGAATAGCATTTATGAACCCTAGATACAAGCTCTAACATGCATAAACACAAGATTATGCATCAAATCACTCAAGAACATCAAGAACATCAGTAGAGTAGCAAGAAATCATCATAGCAAGTATAAAATAGGTTTTGTAGAGCATGGGTTACCTTTGTAGTCTAAAAAACACTTCCTCAACCTCCTAAACCTCTCCTTGAAGTTCTTCCTCAACAAGGTCTTCTCACACAACCAAACCACACAAAGAAGACCAACACTTAGATAAAGATTAGGTAAAACCCACTAAAAACACTATCTAAGCTAAGATCTTACCCTTCCTAGAGTCTTGATGGTGGAAAGGTGGAATCTTGGAGAACTTTCATGCAAGGTTGAAGAAAGATTTGGTTGGCTTGGAGAATAAGCTACACCTCTAGAGAGAAGGTAGAGAGTCTCGTGTTTTCTTGTCAAATGTAGGAAATGAAGTATAGTCTTGTTAGGGTAAGGCTTGAATGCCAAGTAAGGGTGAAAGGACTAGTATGCCCTCCCTTATTAAAAAGGTCAGGAAGACATAAAAAAAAGGCTAGGTACAACTTATAAAGCTCAAGGTATTTTCTTTTGACTAAACCAATTGACCAAGGGATTGGTCAATTTAAGTCCTCTGACTTTTAAATATGAAATTGGAAGGGAAATTCACAAGGAAGATTTGTAATTAATTACATAATTAACTCTATTTAAGAATTGAATTTTCGGGGTGTCACACTTTCCTTTGCACCTCAACCCTCCTCCCTCCCCAACTTTGTTCCCTAGTCCAATTTGCATCCTTTATATTTACCCCCCCCCCCCCCCCCCCCCCCCCAAAAAAAAAAAAAAAAAAAAAAAAAAAAACATTGCTCCATCAATCGATCCATACTCCCTTCCTTTGCTCTTGAAACTTCCACTCCCTAGGTCTAATTGAATCCTAAACCCAAACCCCAATTCCCTATCACAAGTAGGGATGTCAATCGTATCGAGTTACCCCATTCAATTTCAGTCTTGCCTTATCAGGTTGTCGACTTATCGATTCAAATTAATTTTTTCTGGTTGGTTTTAAAATTCTTGGTCGTAATCCTAAAACCTAGAACTGTTGAGCTTATCAGGCAAGCTTAATGATGAGTGTTAAATTGTACTACTTTTATGGTACATTTATTGCCCAAATTTGGATTAGAATTGCTAATTATGTGCTTAAAATGACCAAATATGTGATATATTATGAAGAGGAACTACTTTTGACAATTTTGTATTTTGAAGGTAAAAAGGGCAATTTAGAGCTCAATTTGATGTGTATGAAGTCATATTGGCACAAAGGTGTGTTCTCGAGGTACTGAGATGTCAAGAAAGTAAAAAAAGAGTGATTTGGAAGTATCATTGTTGGTCCCAAGGTGTTGGGTTACAAGTCTAGAGGGTGTGGTGAATAGACTTGTAAACTTTAAAACAAATCAAAACCTTCATATCCAAGAAAACTTGAACTCAAAATTTAGAATTTAATACAAAGTACACGGCAGAAATATTTTAACTCCTTTTTAATTATCTTGCACATTTTTACTCTTGTAAAATTTTAGGTTTGATTAGTTAATGCTTAATGTAAAATTTGTAAATAAAAGAGAGGGAGAGGGAGATATTTTTATAGTGATTCGGGCAAATCTAGCCTACTCGACTCTTCTCTTATAACTCCTATGAAGATTGCACTATTATCACTTTAATACAATGAAAAGAACTTGAGCCTTGATCACAAAGCCGGCCTCAAGTCTTTAAGTTTTTCACAGGTATACACCACTTGTTACTCCACCTCTTTCTACTTCTCAAAGTAGAGAGTGTTGGTTGATCACACAAGAGTTGTTGATTCTCCAACATGAAGTTTTAGCTCTTGAGATTTCTCTCTCACTAGTCGTGGATTTGTATTCTCGTATGTTTTTCTCTCTTAACAACTTTCAGTTGACTAGCACATCATTCAGCTTCGAATGGGGGTATTTATTATAGACCTATTTGAATATGTATGTTGGATGGAACAAATTCAAATGTCTATTACCAGTATAATGACCAATGTGTATTGCACAAGTTGCTTTTGCTCAAATTTTCAGCCATATATTGTTTCTATTTTTTAAAAGTAACCTTAGGATAGTTTAGTCTCAGAAGGTTATAGCACAGTAACTTCCAAAAGGTCATTTAGTTAACCTTCCGATTTTTAACTTTCCGGTTAGTAAAGTTCATCATCTAAGTTAAACTTCCAGATGTACATTGTGAATATTCCTAAGTCTAGAAAATAAAAAGAATTGGTGAACTAACTTTCAAACATAACACTTGTTCCTAACAAGGTTACTTTTCAAACTTAGTTTACCTTCCGATTTTTAACTTTTCGGTTAGTAAAGCTCATCCTCTAAGTGAAGCTTTCAGATTTACATTGTGAATATTCCTAAGTCTAGAAAATAAAAAGAATTAGAGAACTAACTTTCAAACATAACACTTGTTCCTAACATAAATAAGTGCATTTGAGCACTTATCACTATCTGTTCTATACTTTCTCAATATGTTGCAGCCTAAAGAGTCAATACCCCACCACCGGGGTTTGATCCTGTGACCTTCCCTCGATGAGATCCACATAGGTGTCATCTGAGCACAAGGTACTTAACATAGATAAAATAAACTTATCTATTTTGACCCACACATCCTCAATAATGCCTCTAGGATACTTAATTAGCTTAATAGACCTATCAATCAATTGAGTACTCATACAGGTTGGTTTAGACTCCCACAACCCTAATTTTTAAAATAGAAAGTAAGGCATTAAATTAATACTAGCTCCCAAATCAGCCAAAATCTTCTCTACATACAAATAACCTTGATGACAGGGTAAAGTAAAACTTCTTAGGTCCTTTATTTCCTTTGGGATCTTGTTGAGTAAAATTGCATAGAAATCTTTAGTCAAAGTAAATATAGGTAACTCTTCTAGGTTCTTTTTCTTGGTTAAAATATCCATCAAGAATTTTGCATAGTTGGGCATCTATGCTATGACCCCAACAAATTAAAAGGAAGATTAAATAACTCTAGAAATTTATTGAATTGATTGTGTTTCTTCTCTTTTCTAAACCTAGATAGATAAGGCAAAAGGGGTCTATCCTCCATCAAATTTGCAAATTCTCTACTATTTGTTCTACATCCTTGCAAATCTCTCTCACTTTCCTATTATATTATTATAAATATAATAATATAATAATAAAATAATAATAATAATAATAATAATAATAAATTATGGGACAAATTTGCTAGCCACATGGACAACTTACCAAAATAAACAATAATTTTTTGGATTCTCATATCATCTTGTCAATGCTATCTTTGTTGGGATAATCTCAGCCTTACATGAGGACCCCATTGGTAATTGAGAGACATCTCTTCAATTAGTACCTAAACCTAAGTTGGGGTTTTGCTATTTAGTGTGCCACCTGCTAAAGTTGGGGTTTTGCTATTTAGTGTGCCACCTGCTATTGCATCTATTAATTGCTTTGTGGAATGATTCAGACCTTAGTAAAAAGTTTGAACTTAATCCTTACCTTCAAGTAAACCATGATGGGAGTATCTCCTTAATAGCTCCTTAAAAAAAAAATAAATAAATAAAAATAAAAAATTAAGAACTTTTAGTGAATCAGAAATTGAACAAGAAGCATTATATTAGACACACAAACAAAAAAGGAAAATGATACATGGGGACCTCTATAGAGTAAAACTCTACTCTTAACATGTTTCATGATTGTATTAATAAAAGATAAAAAAGAATAATTGTATGATCCACACTAGTTTTTAGAGGAACTAAAACAAACCGTACAAGCAAAGAGTAAAAAATGGAATATAAACTAAAAGGATGTGTAGTATTCCTTAACTGAATATACTTATCGGCAATTTATATCACGGACCATGAATTAAAACAATGTAGTACAGAATTCATATTTTAAGATACAGAATTTCATAACACAAAACACAAAAAAATCACAACACAAGACACATAGTAGAACATTATGGACCCAGCTAGGTTGAAAAGACGGGTACATAATTCATACTCATAAGGTACAAAATTTCATAACACAAGACATAAAATTATAACACAAGACAACACATGTTATATATTTACTTATTTTTCAAATATGATTTAAGTACACAATTTGTGTTCATAGGCATAAAACCTCACAACACAAACACATAAAGTCATAACATAAAACACAATTATTAATTTGTTTCAGGTACAAAATTCATACATAAAGTACAGAATTTCATAACGCAAAACACAAAACACAAACACATGAACCAGGATCCATAGTGCAATGTGAACCCTCAGTCCATGGTATAACGATTGATACTCATCCTTTCCCCAAACAAAAGGTGGAACTTGTACAAATGGAATGGAAACCACACACATCGTACTAACGCTGTACATATGAACAGCAGAATCAGGAATATGAAACTAGGCTTTCATTGTAGGTAGCCATTTGAACCAAAAGATGGTTATTTGGAGGAAACATTTTAATCAGCGCCGAAGAATCATCTCTCAACCTATACAAAAGCAGTTTGTCCAGATCATACTGCAGCAAAACCTCATCCACATTCTGGGTCACAAACACAGGCGAAATGCTGATATCGTAATCCAATGAAAACGACACCAATTTCCCCCAACATTCCTCCGCCATGCCATAGTTCTTCAACGCCCATATATGCAACGTCTCGGGAGAGCACTGGCAAGAGGCCACCAGAATATTTCCACCCAAAACGCCTAATCTCCAAAAGGGTCTTTGGTCTTCGTAGCTGTCTGGTAGTGTTATGGTCCGAAGCGTCTCCGTGGCCAAATCAAACGCATAAATCTCCGAACAAAAACCCCACCTGAGACTACTGCCTCCCAAGTAAACAACTCCGTTGAGAAAAACTCCATTACCATGGGGAAAGTTTTCACTGTAATAAAAACCCGGAATCACTCTCCAAGACTTGGCGTTTCTGCTGTAAACCATAACGGTGTTTTCAAACATGCCGTCGGGATCATCAATAGGAGGCGAGGAACCCAATATCTTCACCAGTTTATAATCGTCGTGGAACTCATCATACCCAAATCCATATGTTACATACCCAACATCCTTAATTTCATAACCTGGGTCGTCTATTATGCTTGTTTGTCTCGTGGATGGGTTCCAGAACGAGAGTTTATACGAGGAGGTCAACAGACACAGTAATCCGTTGCAGGAACCCAGAATGCAGAGCGAAGGTATATCGGCAGTTTTCTGAAAGCGGTCGAGCTCAACTACTCTGACAATACAGGAATTTTCACAAACTATGGAGTAAGAAGAACAGATCTCGGGTTGACCAAACCGGGTGGCCATGAGAGCAAGCCGTTTGGGCCCAAATTTCTTTGAAAACTCGAGATGGGTTTTGATGAATTGAGGACTGGAGATCAAAGAAAGCCAGCATTTGGAAACACACCTGAATCGTAGGAGTGACTTGACGGGCAACCTCAGGAGAATATCAAGGATGATTTCTTGTGGGAGATCTGGGAATTCTTGGAGATGAACACTGGTTTCTACTTTGTTAGCTAACTCATCCATCTTCTGCTCTGCACTTGCCATGCATCAAAGCTCTGGCTGGCTCTGTGATTGCTTGAGGTTTGTTTGTGTACTGTAAACTGGGAAAAGTCAAAGTATTAGATCTATAATGCAATCCTTGACACCCTGTACTAGATCTATGTGCTATAAAAAATGAAAAACTTAATGAAGGACAAAGACTTGTTTGTTTTAAGCTGAAGTCAACTTCATTAAAATATGGGAAATCTGGTACAAAGCCTAGGCCCTAGGGGCAACCAAAAGCTCTAGAGCAACAATACCAAGAAAGGGCATGCATGGGCATTCCAATTCAGTACATATACATCAAAATAGAGTAATTACACAAAAAAAGTTGTGTAAATCCCGATTGTACTCATTGCCTTGAGTCCATTGACATCAACAATGGCACCAAGCTATCTCAGCAATGACGCACAGCCAAAAGAAAAAACAAAGAAGCATGTATTTTTAAGCCAGTCATCAACAGTTTCAGTTCTCAAAACTACAAAAAATATGTGCTAAGAGGTTGACTGGCCCCACATGTCCATGGTCTTCCATACCATGTGAGAGAAAGAGCAATGCTAGATGAGGTGCTTCCAGATTTCAGGTACAGCATACTTGCTTACCAGACAAGATGCTGCAAGGTACAGTACTCCATGTGTTTTATCAAGCAAGTACACTGTAATAAAGATGCTATTTTCCTTAGCAGACCAAATGACCTAGTGTTCATGAGGCCGGTGCATCAAGGTTGATGGTGTCACTTGAAATCTTGAATTGAGTGCAAAGCCTCAGTGTCCCTTCTCTTTCCCTGCGGCCACGCTCATGGGATTCCAATGATTATAGAACTAACTGTTGAGAATAATTGTCATTTAAACCTCCAAACAACATCTGAGAGAACCCTGCAAAGCATAAAATCTTCACAATGGTAGAAATAAATGATTTGATGGTGATCATGTACAAACAAATAATAAAAAAATCTTACCAAACTGTTAATCATATGTCGTTCTATAAGCTTAGGAAAGGGACCAGACCCCTATAATTGAATTCCTTGTTTCTCTAGTCCGCCAATTTCATTTCTTCCCAGAGAAAGAATTATTTCCATGGAATGTGTCAATCTGAGTGGGAATGCAAAACAGAAGAGCAAAGATTATCTTTTGTAATCCTTTTGTTTACATTGGAAACAAGGGCATAGTTTTGGCTATCATAACATGCAGTCATAAACGCTGTAAGAGTTATTTTATCAACAATTTGGCATTTATCTAACAATTTATGGAAAAACAACGCTGCCATGTCAACCTTCTTTTCACTGCAAAGCTTTCTGATCAATGTATCAACTGTACGAGTCCATAACCTTTTATCTAATCTATCTAAGAGGACGATTGCAGTGGAAGGCTCTTCCCTCTTGCAAAACTCATAAGCTATTGTTAACCGTGTGACTTCACATGGGGAAATTCCTTTATCCATCATTGTGTCATAATGTTTTCTAGCCTCGTCCAACATAGACTCCTTGCAAAGACCACTAACCAGAGCACCATAAGTAACGCAATCAGGTGCACAGCCATATTCTCCCATGCTCTGGAAGAACTTCATTGCAGAACTGATATTTTTGTCTCTACAGTATCCAGATATCATGGACGTGAAAGTTTCCTTTGTTGGAACCAAACCTAATTTAATTGCATCATCAAAAAGCTTTTCACTTTCTTTCATCCTCTTTTCCCTGCATTGTGCCGCAATTAGCGTGGTGTATGTATGAATGTCAGGGTTGATACCAAACTTTACCATCTTACACCAAAGTGCAAAAGCTAGCCTACTGTCAGCGTGTTTACAACAGTCTGATATGAGAATGGTATATGTAACTAAATCTGCAGATAGCCCAGTTTCCAGTCCTTTCTTTAATAATTTATATGCTTCTCGAGCCTCTCCCTTTTTACAGAGTCCATCAATTACTGAATTATATGTACCAATGGTAAGCAACAAATCATCTTTCTTCATTACTTCCATCAACTCATAAGCACGAGTGAAATTACCCACTTTGCAATACCCATCAATGAGAGAAGTATAGGTTTGAGCATTAGGGACCAACCCTTGTTCCTGCATTCTACTCAGAAGCATCTCTGCACGGTTCAATTTTTCCTCCTTGCAATATCCAGTGATCATCACTGTATATGTATGCACGTTTGGCTTGTAACTATCGCTCCTCACAAGTTTCAAGAAAAGCCTAAATGCCTTTTCGGTCCAACCCTTCTTACAAAGACCATCAATTAGTGCTGTATGAGTAAACACATTGGGTTTCCAACCCTTCCCAACCATTTCCTCTAACAGTTCAAACGCTTGTTTAACACTGCCACGCTTAGACAACCCATTTATCAAACAAGTAAAATTTATCAAGTTTGGAGTCAAGCCTAGTTCAATTAACCTATTAAAAATCCAAAATGCTCTGTTCACAAACCCCTTTTGGCAAAGCACACTCATAATTAATGTACAAGTCGCATTGTCCGCAATAAAACCCTTTTCCAGCATTGCACTCATCCATCTATCTGCATCCATAGCTCTCCCTAATTTACAGTAAGCAACAACCATTGACTCAAAACAAAAAGAATCTGGATAAAGACCTCTTTCACACATTTCATCAAACACATGCTCAGCAATCTCTATACACCCCGTTTCAGCAGCTACACTTACAATGCAGTTCAAAGTCCTCGCACTAAAAACCAATCCTTGGTTCCGCATCTCAAAAACCATATCTACAGCCTCCTTCAACATCCCAATCTCACCAAAATTCTTGACCATGCAATGTATGACTTCATGGGCTCTATCAAAATTCCCATTTCTAATCAAACACATCGATGAAACTATGTAAAGCCGCATAAAGTGCCTAAATTTTGGGTATCTAATTGCCCAATGAAAGAAACTCAAGGCAGCAATTGAGCCCGCCTCATCAGCCAAAGAAGCCACAACAGTAATACACTGTTCTGGAGTCAAGAGTTCGCTATCCAAAGGCAGTTCTAGTTTTGGCAACAAGGATTTGAAATGGGTATTTTCTTGATTGCTATAAGATTCATAAACCAGAGAGCAGACTCTTTGGATGACAGAGTTGTGCTCTGAAGAGGACGAGGAAAAAGTAATGGGGTTTGAGTAAAGATCAGTTTGAGTGTGAAAATATGTGAGCTTGGGTTTGGCAAGGAAGATGCCATCGAGGAGTGTAGTGGAAAAAACTCTGAGCTGCAAATGAAGACGATGGAACGCAAGCAGAACCATGAACAAACTTCAACAGGTCAACAAAAATGGATTCAAAGATATTCAACTCTTATGTTGTCATGCACTCCTGTGGTCCTGCCAAATGCTAAACCTATAAATCAATGTATAAATAATACCTAACAATATTACAATACAACTAAAAATAAATTAATTGAAAAATTATTTTAAAAAATAATATTTTGAAAAGATAACTAAATGACTAAAATAAGAAAATTAATGTATATTTACCCAAAACCTCTTACCCTTGATGATGAACTTTACACTTCGACTAATCAATCATAGGTTCCAAATTAGTCTTTGATAAACCTAAAAACAAATCAATGTAAACTTTTTAAAATAATTAGACAATGAACTATAAGTCTATGAGAAATTAACTTTTAAATAAATAAGTAAATAAGTGATATTGATATATACCCAAATCGAATATATCTAACTCAGCAATTTCATGCTCAATTTCGTCATCTGTTGAACCTACATTTCCTTCCATGTTCTAAATGATGGGTTGCTATTTCAACTTTTTTCAAGCATCTATATGCTCTTTAAGTGTATATATACAACACTTTAAATTGAAATATTTTTGTTTCACCCAAACTCTTATAAGATACACAAATCATAATATATCTTCTCAAAATTTTGTAGAAACTGTCAAGCAAAAAGTATCTGACACTATTTTCAAAATCTTGTTACTATGAAATCCAGTCAATTAATGGTCATGCATGGCATAGGGATATGGCATACCTTGAAAAAGGAAAACCTTACATATAATTTCAAAAATCTGGATTTTCAAACCGAACAGATCTGCAGATGTGTGTGTCATGTAGGATGAAAAGGAAAAGTTATTGATACAATACTTAAATAATATGGAGTAACAATATATAATAGACTAACAGATTAACATATATGAGGTGAATACTGAACAGACAGGTCTAAAAAAAATGAAGCATCAAAACTCAAACATTAAACTGAGGCTCGCAGATTGAAAATATAAAGATTTGTATCAGACAGATCTAAAGTGAGAGAGATTGAAAGTTCTATGGCTGACCTTATTGCTATTTTGCCTTAGTCGTGGCTTGCCTGAAGCATAGATCGGGAGGAAAGCACAATTGTCAACTCATTATCAGACTATTGGAGCATTGGCTGTTGTCCTTTGAAGCGTTGGAAATTTGGAACGAGGTCAGCAGGGCTAAAATGGAGATCTGAGGTCTAACAAGTGAGAATAATAGTCAGTAGACAATAGCATAGAAACATAAGAATCAAACAAACAAACAAACGAACAAACAAAAAAAGTCCACAATTGAAGGTCAAAATTGATTATATAATTCACTCAAGCATGTCTTCTGTTTTGTCTTTTGGGAGGGTTAATTGTTGGCAGTTCCTAAGAGAATTGAAAATATTGTTTAAATTGTTGACTACCAGAACCAATACCTTCATACATGATGAATAATTAGATTTATATTTGTTCTTTGCGTGTGCTTAATTATAGCTAACCAAGACAATGTAGTGTGTGTATCACAGACAGGAAAAAAACTATTCATGTGGGAGATGCATAAGTTCAGGGTAAGCATACTAACTATGGAAGTCAATTACTTGTTACAAGATATTGTGCAGCAACTTTCTGATTGTGCTAATTAACTAATTTTTGCATTTGGAATCATTGGATGATTATAAAATGCCAGTATACAATTCATGCTCTGCAATGAAAATTACCTACATGAATGCAGAATAAACAGGTTCTTTAAATCTTAACATTATGGGAGCTATATCCTCAATTGAGGATTTCATACTATAACATGAGAAAAAACACTAGAATCAGCAAATCAATGTAAGATTTTCCCTAATAATATATATTGTATATTATATATTAGGGCCTTAATTAAGTGGTGCAAGTGGACGAGGCTTATTAAGTGGTCTAGTTGGACTGAATAACTAGAGGTTGTTAGTCCACCAAACACTGTGCCTAATATAATCCTGGATTGATGGGATACAGGATGATTGATGATATAGCCATGGTTGCAGTAGGCGCTAGGCGCTAGTCGGGCGCCCGGACAGCGCCTACCGCCTAGACGGTCTAGGCGGTGCCTAGGCGAAATCTAGGCGGGCGCCAAAAAAACAGTGGTAGACTTGCAGTTTGACAAATTTAATGAGGTTGTTTTCAACATTTAATCAAATAACACATCCAAATAAATGAATTAATGATAATTCATAAGTCATAACATCAAAATAATGGTTTTCAAAAAATATATATATATATATATATATTAAAACAATATTAAAAATTAGAAATAATCAAATACTTCAATCATCCAAAGATACAAAGTATCAAACTAGTCTACGAGTGTATATATGTCATATTATATATATATATATATATATATATATATATATATATATATATATATATATATATATATATATATATATATATATATATATATATATATATATGCACCCGCGCGCGCACACACATATATAATAAAAAAATAGGCTGAGCCGATCAGGTTAACTCGACCGAAATTGACGAGTTAACTCGACTAACTTAGACGTTAGGCGGCCAAATCGGCCGAGTTAGGCGCTAGGCGGACGCCTAGGCGGTCGGTAACCTAGGCAAGCGCCTAGGGGGGAAATCGCCACGGTCTAGAGGCTAGACCGATTTTTACAACCCTGGATATAGCACATTCAAGTTTCAGAGTATTATCCTAAGTTTTCTTATTACACTAACCAACCAATGAGTCTTGCGTTTCCACTGATGAATGTATAAAGAAGCTCATGTATGGGAAATTTTCACGAAATGGAACAAATTTAATGATCTCAAAATGAAGAAACACCAACACTTTCCCACTTCACAAAGATATATGACATTAAACAAACAAAACAAAACAAAATTGAAGCTCAATAAATCCCAAACTGAAGTGAAATCAGAAGACAACTTACAAAATCGGGTAAGGAACAGTATGTCAGGTACGACAACCACCAGCCTCCGGCAGCAGCAGCTTCAAACGGAAATAGAAATCTGAACAATTCGACAGGACGTGGGGATGAGTTGGTGTAATTTGTGTGCTTTCTCTACAGCAACACGCCCTAATCAGAAGAAAACGAATATTGAAATTTACTCTTTTTTTTAATAGTATTGATAGTATTGATTTTATTATAATACTAATACTAATATTTTTTTATGCGGGTAAAAAATAGGTGTCCAATATTAATACATTATATTAAAATTTTAAATTTATTTAAATTTTAGATATTTAAATTATTCTAAATAATCCTCTCAAAAAAAAAATTATTCTAAATAATAATAAGAGTTTATTACCAAAATGGTCCCTCGACTATTGCAAAATTATCAATTTAGTCCTTGACAATTTTTCTTACTCAATTAAGTCATCGACTTTAAAAATGTTAACCAATTTGGTCCTCCGTTAAAAATTTCATCCATAAACTGTTAAATTTAAGGATAAAGAGGTAATTTCATATATTTTATTTATTAGGAATAAGGGTCAAATAGACCATCCAACTGCACACAATAATTCAATTAGGCCACTGAACCTAAAAAACTAACAATTGGGTCCCTAAACTAACCAATTTCAAACAATTCTTTCAATTTGAAGGTTTCCAACAGGTCAACAGGTCATCCTTCCAAATTAATTGTTTTTTAAAAATAAATTTTTAAAATTAATTATTTAAATTTAAAAAAATATTTTTTAAAAAAAATAACTGGACTGGCCGAGACGGTTGTCTCCGGCCGGGGTATGTTTTTTTATTTTAAACAAAATTTAAAATTAATTATTTTTTAAAAAAATAATTAATTTGAGATGGTGACCTGTTGACCTGTTGGAAACCTTGCAATTGGAAGAATTGTTTGAAATTGATTAGTTTAGGAACCTAATTGTTGGTTTTTTAGGTTCAATGGTCTAATTGCATTATCCTGTGTAGTTCGATGGCCTATTTGACCCTTATTCCTATTTATTAAAACTTTTCTTTCTTCCTAGTCTTTCCACTCCCTTCATCGATGCCTGGTTTAGACGATTGGGATCATCCTTTCATTGATCTAGAGCTCCTAGAAATCGAAGCCGCTTTCCAATCTGCCACCAACAAGCGCAACGATTCTGATAACTCCTCCACTCCCCGCTGTCGAAGATTAGGTTAACGCGATGGAAATAAATTTCGCCGGAACCATTGAATGGAAACCCACTTCCAAATGAGGTAGGTATAAGGTATACAGCTCTCCATCTGCCCTGCAACTTTTTTTCCGGCGACATATTAATGCTCGTTGTTTGTTGAGGCTTAAGAAAGCTTATCGAGATGTAGAATGATGAGGGACAAAACATGGATCTTTACATTCTCAGGAAATGCTCTGCAACCGAATTTTCATCTTCTTCATACTAGATTACTTGCATTCTTGCTACAAATTCGCAGACAGGTTTTGGACTTAGCAGTAGATAGGTTAGAAATAATGTCTTCTTTCCGTAGCTTCAGATTTTGATTTTTCACTACTGGTTCTCTGATGGGTTCCATGGCCCTTTGTCTGACCTCAAACAACCTCCATGTTCAGTACAAGTACAGCTACCGCCTTTCATCAACGACTTCAAGCTGTTTGCGTTGGTAACAGTCACCAAGAACATGACCATCCAATACACCATCTAGGGTTCTGAGTCAGGTCTGAGGCAATACATGGCTAACGGTCTACCGTTAAGAGGCAACACAACAGGAACATCAATTATGGCGGGAGATCAACACGGCTACGCTTCCGCTCTCATACGAGGTCAGGTTTCTTGTATCCTATGATTTATTATAGTTAGATTATTTATATCTAACATTTGGTATCAGAACCTGTATAATCTCTGTCTGGTTGATTGTTTTGCTTTAGACACAAAAATTATTTCGAAAAATTAATATTAAGTTTATGTACATAAAGTTTACTGTACATGTTCTTTTTTCGAAATTTTGCATGTTTTTGTTCTACTGCCTGGTTTTCTTTTGTCATACGCCGGATTTAATTTTTTTTTTCTTTCGGCATAACGAGGATCGTTCGCCGGTGTTTGGACTCCGGTCGTCGCGGCGGTGGGTAGCGTTGCGGCGCGGCTTGGTCATTGGCATTGCGATGGCGAGAGAAGGTGGACAGCGAGATGGTGGGAGCGGCGGTGTTGTCTCCGGCCGGCCTCTCTTCCAAAGATCTCTGTCTTCCTCCTTCAGTGATGCCGAATTCAGTTGGAAAAGGAAATCAATAACGGAGAACGACGGCGCGACATGGAGTTGTTCACGGCGAGAGACGGAGATCAGAGATGGCGCCATGGCGGTACCTTCCCTGCTTCTTTGCTGCTTCGCTTGTTCTCCGGTGATTAATTGGAAAAGGAAAACTGGTACATTTGTTTTCTTATCAAAAGGCAATTTTCCTTTATTTACCATATTAATATTTGCTTTATTTAATATTACGTATTAATTATGTTAAATGGTAATTATTTAGTTTCAAATTACCATATTTATATTATTTTAATTAATATTGTATATTATTTTGGCAAATGGTAAATGTATGGTAATTGCTTGTTTTGTAATATTGATGCCCTTCAGTTTTTACTTAATTTTGGCATTAAATTTATAATTAAATTATTATTCAATTATGGACAAATATTAAAATTTAAATTTGCTATTTGAATTTTAATTTAATATTGAGATTATATTTAATTACTTAAAGTATTGCAATTTATTTAGAGTTTATGGGTTAATAATATATTAATATGCAAAATCAAAGCATGCTAGGTATATTTATTCAATAATTATTTTGTTATTATAATTATACATTCATAATAGCATGCATTAAAGTTGGATTTAGCATATTATTAACTCATAAATTCATTATTAAAATATCATTCAATTTTGGATCTTTAAGCCAATTTTGGACATTATGGTCTATTAAGGTAGCTTGTTTTGGTTTCCCATTAATTTTGAGCACATTTTAGTATTATGTGTCTCTGGGACTTTAGAACCTATTTTGAACAAGCTATTTGAGACCTATCTTGGGTCATGAAAGTATGGATCCCACCATTTTGATTGATATTTTAATAATAATTATAGCACCTTATAACATGTTTATTAAGTTTTAATTATTATTAACTACCATATTTTGGTATTCATCGTTGGTAATAATATTAAGTTTTGGGTCTATTTCAGTACTTAGACCATTTTTTATTCATGTTATAATTCACTTGGGTCATTGAGGTTTATGGGCCTAATTTGAGTGATTAAGTGCTATAATTATTGTCTCGGCCTGTTTAGAGACATTAAGAATTTAAGGATTTAATTGTTATTTTGGCCATTAAGAACTATAACTATTGTTTAAGTTGATTAAATTTTTAATCTATCAATAGTTTTTCAGGGTCTTGATAATATTAAATCTTTAATTTTATGGCAAAAGCAATATAGTTGGTATATTGTTAGAATAATGGTAATTTGGTTATTACCTAACTTCAGTCTCTCTAACTATCATAATAGTCATGATTAATTATTATGTGGTAAAATTGAGATTAAGTATTTGACATCCCTTAATTACAGTTTTGCCACTTATTAAGCTAAATTTGGCATTATTAATTACTGTTATTAAGTTTAGGGGCTAATCTCATTTTATTACTTTCCATAATAATTATTAATGGTAATCTGCTATATTTGGTACATTGGCATGATTACCACTTCATTTTACATGACTATTAATGTTGGTAATTAAGTCCTACCAATAAATTTTTTAACGTACCATTGGACGCTGCATCGAGTTTATTGACACCGATAATGAAGATTGGGAGAATTCTGGAGTCTTTTCTTCTCTTGTGGATCGTCATCGTTGTTAGCGCAAAGGGCAGATGCGGTTTGCATCATTAAGGTTAGCCATTAATTATCTTTTATGGTTATTATTGATAATTAGTGCTATAGTTACATTTAACCGCTATTTTGGACTAGTCACATATTTTATTTTTTAGAAAAATGGAAACATTAAAAAATGCATTACCATACTTTAGTTTGTCGTTATTATTAATGTTAATAGTGATTATAATGTTACTTATTGCTATTAATAATTAATTAATTAATAATGACATTAATATTGTTATGGTATTCAGTTATGCACCTTGAACTGTTTCCAAATAAATTTATGTGACAATACTCCAGTTCGAAAAATAATTTTCTGGACATTAATATTTTTTGGACTTCAAATTTTATTAAGTTTTCAAAATTTTATCCGAAAACATTTATAAGTGTTAGCGGTTTTAACCATTGTTTTTTCATATTTAGTCTCGTACATAATGTGATAATATTATTATGGCTATTTATTGCTATTTTGATTATTTGCAATTTTGCCATTCATAATAATAATATTATTATCTGGATTATGGAGAGTGATTTTGAATCAATTTAGTAATTTTGAAAAAACATATTTTCTAGGCAATTGACTTTTGCCATTAATTCCATAATTTATTTAGGTCTTTGAATTATGATTGTCCATATTTGGTTAAGTATGAATAAATGAATATTTCGTTTAAATTCATATTCTTTAGTTGGTTCATACTCTTTAGATTGTTTTATGCATTCGATCACATTAAGTGCATAATATTAAGTTTAATTATGCAATTAGGGCTTGTGAGATTTTAATTTACAAATGATAGCATATCCTTTTGGTTTGATATTGTTTGAATTTGTAAATTCAATTATTTCTCATGAATTTGATCTTCATGCATTAAAACATTTTACCATGGTCTTACAGTTTAAAAATTCAAAGTATATATCCAGTACATTATTATTCAAAATGTTGGGTCTCTTTTGGTTTGGACTCATTGGTGTTTGAATATTAAGTTTATACTTTGAAATCTCATATTGTAAATTTGTCTTAAGTTATGCAATTTATTTGAAGTATATGAGTTTAATGTTTAATTTTATGCATATTCGTCCTAAGCATAATATTATGTTTTAAATTATGCAATTTTATTATGCCTTTAGCAATGCATACTTTGAGATGGAATTATATTAGTTCCTGTTTAAGTTGGACTTATGCATAAACTTCAGTTGCAGTAGTGTCTGACGTTAAGCACTTTTAGTCCGCTATTTTTAGTTCACCATTTAAGCTTTATCATAGGTGAACTTTACAGTTTTCTGGTGTATACCCTACAGTTTTAGGTTCTTACCCCCAAACAGTTATACATTAAGTATATATGAATCGGGGAAACATACTATTTTTAATGGCCATGACTTAAGAACATCTTGTGCCACCAGTCTCCTTGAATTGATACTCTATTTAAGAAATTGGTTTTCAGTGAGACTTAGTCTCTAACCACATTTCCTTGGAGTATATTTAGATTTTCCCATCACAATCTGGTATAATCTGTTTGTCAAAATTTTAAGTATTTCTTGCCAATGTGATTTTATTTCGGTTCATTAAAGAATAGCAAAAGCATCTTTAATTTACTGAAGTCTCTTAAGTTTTCAATCTTGGTTAATTAAGGAATAGCTACAGCATATTCAGCTACCTAAGATTGTTAAGTTTTAATCACATAAAGTTTAGGCAAGAATTTGATAATTGTCTAGTGATCTTATAATTTTAATTTGGTTTGAGAGTAGCCACAGCATCCTTAATCTGTTAAAATTATATATTAAGCGGTTTATTTTGATCACATAAAATTTTAGACATATCATTTGTGATTAATTGTATGTAATATGATGAAATTTAGCCCACAGGCAATTTTGTTATATTTGTATAATTAATCAGGATGAAATACTGGACTACGGTCATAATTTAGCCCACATGCAATTATGTATCGGAATGTAGTTTAGTAGTTTTATCAGTGACGATAGAAATAAATCAATTTATTTACTTTATGGTTATTTGTAAATTATTTCCAATTCTATCATGAAGTTTAGTTTTATGATGTAAACTTTAGATCATATTTCTTAATTTGCCCACAGGGATTAAGAAAAGGAACATGATCTCTTAAGTTTTTTTTTTATCATAATGGGGAGTAATGAATCTTATTGAATAAAACTTTAGCCTACAGGCAAGTTTTATATCATTTGATTCTTCAACTCATTTGATAGTTGTTTCATCATAAATAAAATTTTTCAGTTGGATCTAATTGAGTAAAACTTTAGCCCACAGGCAAGTTTTATGTTACTAGATTCTTCTGGCTCTTTAGTAATTGAGATAAAATATTATCATAAGGGTTTCTTAATTAGATTTAATAGAATTAAAACTTTAGCCCATAGGCAAGTTTTATGTCAATAAATCACTTAACCCATTAGATAATAATTTTATCACAATTCTTAGAATTTATAAATTTAGTTCAATTATAATTCTAAGGTTCATGGTTTGCATTGGCAAAACATGTATTCAGTCACTTCCCAAAATTTAGCAACTTCTATTAATTAATTCACGAATCTTGCTCGGTTCTTCGGACTAACTGTAGTAAGTTACGTGATTTGACATACATCTTTTGGATTCCATTAATAATAAAATGTATCTTTTGAGCCAAATTCTAACTTGGTTTTGGAAGGTGTATTTTTATTTTAGTATGTCCAACGATGGTGGGGAATTATATCTTCATTATTTAGTTGGACTTTAATTGGAACCAAAAGTTAATTATTTAGTATGTCCAACTAATGGTGGGGAATTATGTCTTTATTTGTTAGTTGGTCAATAAATCAATTATGAGTATGTATGTTATTAAGTTCATTTTATTAAGAGATAATTCCAGAATTAGTCCTCCGACTATCATGATTTTCCACAATTGGTCCTTGACTTTTAATTTGGACAATTTAGACCCTTGACTATCAAAAAGTTTCCGATGTTGGTCCTTCCGTTATCATGTGGTTAAGTGAACGTTAAAATGAAGGCTAAAATTGTCTTTTAACCCCTTAACGTATTTTCCAACAAAAAACACTTCCTTCTTCTCCGGTCAATCTCCGTAGAATCTGTATTTCCGATTCGGTAGCTGATCTCAGTGTTAGCTGTAGCAAACGCCACTACCTATGGTGACAGTGTTGGAGGTGGAGCCGCCGAGCCTGTTGAGGTACGTGATTGGAGCCGCCATCATGATGGCCGGCGTCGTTTTGCCTCTCGGCTACATGATGTTCCGCAACAAGTGTGTGCCTTCCTCTTCTTACTCCAAACAGACGTAGGAACAAGGTTTTGATATAGAGGTGTGCAAGAGGAAACTCAGGAAAGTGTCAAAAGCTTCTTTTTTATACTTTGATGAGAGAGGGGGGGGGGGGGGGGGTAGCAAAAAGGTGGGAGGAGAGCTCTGCTGCATATTATTGTAAATGCATTAAAATCCATTTTGTAGTGTGTTCAATTGATTAGACATTTCAATGGATATGGGTGTTGATTCCTAGAGTTTTAGTTTGGTTATGTTTTCATGACTGGGGTCACACGATGGCTCTTATTGCTACTGATCAAATAAGAAAGAAAGAAATTATTGATGTTTAACCGTGAAAAAACAAAAACAAAAAAAACATCCATAGCGTATGATTTCTCCCGACCTCACCGCCGGGGAAAAGGAAGCGGTTATGACCATGGCGGAAAAGGAGAGAGAAGAAAGGACGCGTGGGTGATGGGTGGATGCGACTGCGAATACGGCGTCAGTGGCGATGTGAAAGAGCCGCCGAGCCCGGTGCCGCCGTCGCCACCCCCGGCGAGGAGAGAGCCCAAGGCGGTGGACGAAGATCTAACATCCATAGCGTATACGCGATTGATGGAGGTCGCTGCTCACCGGAGATGGATGTCGTCGGACCTGCTGCCTTCGCCGGGAAGAGGGCCAACCGTCGTTGCTGTTGACGAGAGAGGGAGGGAGGAGCAAAAACGAAGGTTCAGCAGCCACCGCCCACCTGCTACGCCGGAGCTTGCCTTCTGTTGACCGATCTCGCCGGAGGAGAAGAAGATGTTGCAGGATCTGCTATCATCTCTGTTTCGCCGGATCCACTACCATCTCTGTTTTTAAACTACTGTGGTTCTCTGTGATTGCTGGCAAGGAAAGAAAATTTAAGGCTAGGGGGAGATGAAGCTGAGGGGGAGTGAAGAAGAGTGAGGATGGAGGTGGCGATAGCTTTGGTGGCCATTGATGGGGTTGCCTCTTGCCGCCAAAGAGAGAGAGAGATGGTGATGGTGGGTAAAGCCGAGGGAGAGAGAGAGCAGATACAAAGGTTTTGTTTTTTTTTTTTTTAAACCGTATATGGAGTTTAATAGCGTATATGGAGGAGATACATGATGTATTATACGCAAGGGACATAAAAAGACTTTTTTAACCCTCATTTTAACGTTCATTTAACAACATTATAACAGAAGGACCAATATTGGAAACTTTTTGATAGTCAAGGGTTTAAATTGTCTAAATTAAAAGTCAAGGACTAATTATGGAAAATCATGATAGTCAGAGGACTAATGCTGGAATTAACTCTAATAATAATAATAATAATAATAATAATAATAAAATAAATAAATAAGAAAGATGGAGTTTGATGGCATCTCCACCTCTCAAAAACTAAACAAGCGCTTCCTCTTCCAAATATAAAAGTACACCCAACCCTCCAAAAACAAAAGGGTGAAAACAAACCTCACAACACCATTATTTTTCATCTCTCATTCTTTAATTCTTTTCTTTGTCTCAAAACTCTTCCTCTCTCGATCTCCCTCTAGGCTCTAGGCTGAGAGAGAGAGAGATCGAGAGAGAGAGAGAAAGCAATTAAGAAGCAACCAATTCAATATAATTATGGGTTGTGGGGAATCAAAGCATGCCACTGCAACAGCTAACACTGCCATTACCAAGAGATCTTCCTCTTCAAGAACCAATTCCCAGAAGGAGAGACCCCCATTGGATCAACAACCAGAAACACCTGCAAATAATGATGCCACCAAGAACCCACCTCAATCTGCTCCTCAAAAGGGTGACAATAATATTATTCATATTATAAAGGAGAGCAAAGGCGGAGACGAAAAGGCCCTCGAGGCGAAGGAAAGCAAGAATGGTGCAAAGGAGACAATAATTGATAAAACAGCCAAAGTGGAAGAAAAGGAAAATGGAGCACAGGCCAGCAAGGAAGGATCTCTTGAACAAAATGGTTTGTTACCAAAATTCAATCATCTCTGATCTGATCTTGCTTTCACAACTTCTTATTATTTGCCTGATAATTATATATAATTTATAATGATGTTATGCATTATTTCATCTACAGAAGATGTTAATACAAATGAAGAATACAGCTGCTTCTGAGGCAAAAACAGAAATCAAACCACAACCATAAGAGAAGATTGAAAAACCAATCTGATACTAAATCAGATGCTCATTTCATCTGTATGAGAAATCATTTTTATCTATTTCACATTATGGGTAATTTTAATGCCACATTCTTCTTTCCATCAAATATACAAAACATGTAAAAGTGGAGAGTATATATCATATATTCATTTTGTTGTGGAGGATAGAAGCATTGCATGGGCTTTTTAGTATCAAGTTCTCATACTAATTTGGTTCCTCCAGTATGCACATTTACCTAATTTTGTCATTAACTTTAAAAATTATCTAATTTAGTTATCTTGATTATTGATTTCACACTCAATCTGATCCTTCGTTAGATTCTTCGTCTAAGACCAATTAAATGCAAGAAAAATAGTATCAAACCACTACATGAGGTAAATGTGAACATTCTATTACAAGCTAGCTCCAATGACAATAGAGGTTGAAAGTTAATGATATAATGTGACAAAATTTAAACGAGCATAACTAAATATGACCGATATCATAATAGTTGAAGACTAAAAGCGAAATTTGACCTTTTAAAGAATTATAATATAATGGTGAGGAGATGAAAATAATGTATGTTCCTTAATCATGGTGGATTCTGTGGATCTTGATGCCCTAGTGGGGAATGATTTGTATTTTTTTAATGGCTGGATAATCACCCATTAATTTCCTCATTTCATTTGTAACTACTACTATAATAATTATATCTAATGACTATTTGATTGGACTAATTTTGTGAATTGAACCGCTAATTAAGATGTCTTCAAGCCTTCACCATTGTTGAGCTATTGAGCTTATGCCATTAACTACCATTCTAATCACTCCAATCCTCACTATTTCAGATACACCTTAAAAAGAATATTTTTTAAAAAAATGTTTAACTTTTCATAAATTCAATATAGGTAACAATATTTCAGCAAACGGGATTAGACATGTATGGTTAGTCACCTCACATGACCACTTCGGTTAAAAAACAAACAAGTAAATAACCTTACGAGCTAAGCACTTTGTGCTCAGAAGGCATGTAGTGACATCTCCTATACAACAATGTTTTAGAGTTAATTGCATTCAAAAAAATAACCCTACGACTCGAACTATTAACTCATTTGATTCTTGCCAATTACATCAAATAATCATAAAGTGCCAACCATGCCCACATTATCTTCCTAAATTAAATTCATTGATTAATTACAAAGTGTGTGGTTGGTGGTGGTGGGGGATGGTTGGGTGTGTTTTCAGTGTATATTTATTTATTTATATAAATATACAGAGTGTGTATGTATATTTAATTATATAAACATATTTATATATTTATTACTATTATTATTATTATTATTTTTATAATATAAGAATCGGTTGACAGGACAATTAAAATATTTTAAAATAATTCTAAATTCTAAATTACTTAAGAAAATGAAGATAATCACATAAAAGTAAAACATTATCATCACATCAACTTTAGAGTAGAACAATATTACCAGCAAAATAATATATTAAACCAAACAAACTAATATAATATTATAATACTCATATTACTTCAATAATTTTATATTACCTGAACCAAACGACTCTTGAAATTTCCATGCAACATAGCCGTCAGTGACGTTACAAGTACAGATTACGGAGTACAAAATAGCATTTCGTCGAAGCACTATCCTTTTGAAGGGGAAACCCCAAAACTACAACATAAGAAGTAAAAAGAGTCAATGGCTGCAAGGACGAACAATGATCATATGCGTTCTCAATAGCCAATAGGGGCGGAATTATTATGCATTTTGGACAAAGCTTCTACTTTGTTCAATTGGTAAACAAAAACCGCGGTCCTGTCAATCCGCGATCTGCAGAAGAGCCTTGCCTTGCAAGCTTCTGAATACGTGAAGAGAGATCCTCGGCCTGAACAAATTTGCAAACAGCCACGGATGTTAGGCGGGCTGCTATCAACACTAACAGCATAAACGAATGAATGAATTCAATAACTATATTACAGCCAAAACAATGGGATTGATTCCCTACTTTCCACATTAATGTCTAACTTCAAGGCACTCAATTAACCACCCACGCTTAATTTCTAGCGAATGAGAACACAATGCAAAGTTGTATTTGTACCAAATGTTGAGTCAAATAATGTGGAATGGCATGCCATAACTCTGCATATTTATTAGATACTCAATAAATCGAACCACCATATGATGATTTAATAAGTAGATAGATCAGAGCCAAATTAATTTGGTAACCACAAGGTTACAAGTTCGACTCCCAACGAGAGTGGCCTAGCCTTCTTGGTTTGAGCCGGTTATATGCCATCCGATGCAAAGAGAACTATTCAATGGATGAAAAAGTGTATACAACAAACATTCTTGCAGTCCACGGGGAAAAGTAAAAAAGACAAATTTCAAAGAAACCAGGCACAAATAATATGCGTGTATTGTATGTATAGTTATTACCTTTTCATCAACCCAGACCAGTGAACTCAACTGATTGTTCAAAATGCGGACAACAACATCAAGTGGATTCACGCCATCAGTTAGTTCTCCACCCTACACAATAAAGAAAGAAAGATAATCATCTAATACAGTCAGCATGCAAGATACCAATGTGAAACAAAGTCCTCGGAAGAAAATCATCAAATGGGAGGTATGGGACCTGGTTTGCATTAAGAGAATTAATGATCGACTTTATCTGCTCCATCATCTTTTCCATTTCCCTCTCTACAAATTCTGCCTGTTCATACCTAAAATAAATGCCAAAATGATAGGTGATAACCATGTTATTAAATACTTGATTGATACCAGTGAATACATCTTTACATTAAAGAAAGGTTTTCCAATTACAAAATGCTGGAAAACTAGGTATTGAGTTTGACAGGTCCATATATCCATAAGCTTTGAGTCCACAAAATAAGCTAAAATATGAACTACAAAACAAAGTATTGCCTTATAAACTCACATTGCATCTCTTGTATATGCAGCTTCATCATCAAGAAGCATTTCACGCTCATCTTTATATATCCGTCCAGCTTCTTCTTCCATACTCTGCAATGCCTTGTCAACCTAACAGCAGATAAAACAAATAAGCTTCTGAAATAGCGCCAACCTTCCATGAAAAATTCACAAGCAGCTTGAATGCAATCAATCAGTGAAGCCAATCACCCACAGGTATACATGCATGCATACATACATATATAGGTATTGGATCAAATAAAAAGAGGCGCTCAGGTAAAAAAAAAATGGGGTGAGATCTCAGCCCTTGATCTGGTCCAGAACAATTTCGAAGTTGAGGTGCATAGATTTATACAATTATACTACAAAGTGTATAAGTTTTATACTACAAGAGCATAAGTTTATACTACCATTTTATAAACTTATGCACCTGTAGTATAAAACTTATGCACTTCAAAGTTAGAGATATTTACAAAAATGCCACCACATTTTTCCTAAACTAATTTGAAAGTGCGAAGTATATAATATCAAGTGCATAGGCTTATAGTACAAAGTTTGAAAAAATCTCCTTTTTTAGAGGAGTTGATCTGGACACCAGATCAACGGCTACGGCTTAGATTTCATCCCTTTTTTTACTTGGGCACCTCTTTTCACCTGATCTTACCCCTATATATATATATATATATATATATATATATATATATATATATATATATATATATATATATATATATATATATATATATATAATCATGATAAAATGAGTCCACCCTTTCCTATGAGTCCGTGTGGACAGATCTGATCCATTAAAAACTAGAGATCAATAGTCTAGATTTTTCCAACTGTGCAACTCTGATACTATGCAATTACACAGTTGCACAGTTGGGAAAATCTAGACCATTGATCTTTAGCTTTTAATGGACCAGATCTGTCCACACGGACTCATGGGAAGGGGTGGACTCACTTGAACAATGGCATATATATATATATAGACATCTCCAACACTGATAGCAATGCAGAGGTTTCAGGAACTCAAGATGCAAAAGATAAATATAGGAGAACCCCGCTACTAACATACCTCATCTTGATGTGTCTCAATTAACTCAAGCTGTCGCTCTAGGCTAGCCTGTGTCTCAACAACCTTTGCAACTTCACTCTGACACAAAATAAAGTGCAGACATTGAATGAAATATTCCACAAAAACCACACAATTAGATGAGATCGCACCATATTAAAGCAATACTTTGTCCAGCCTAGTTATGATGAAAGAGATGATAAGATGCCAAAGATGAATGTTTTATAGATACCATACCAAATGCACATGTATGGAGATTTTCAACTTACATCTCCAGTCTATTGCATTCTGGCATTACATTAAGTACATTAACAATTCTCATTTACACTAAAGAATATAAAACCTCAAGCTTAAGGAGGATATCACGGTTTTGTAAGATCCTCCTGTCCCATTCAGCAATTGCATTGGCTTGCTTTCGGAAATTTGTCGTGCGCTCCTGCAGCTCTGCATTCCATTCCTTGATGACCTTCCAGAAACAAAAAACACATAATAACATGTTTGCTATTTAGACAGCTCTATACAACAACACAAAACACGTGGAAACGACCCAAATGCTATCAAGTATTAGATAAATTGATATCACAACAAATACCAGTCTAATTTGATATTTGATAACTTACTTCCTCTATAGTTTTTCCGGTAATTTCAGATGGTAACTTAGGTGAGGTCCCTGTTGCAGCACTTGTACTCAGTGTAGTCCTGTAGGAGAAAGTGGCAAACCAGAAGAAAGCAAAGCAATCAGGTCCAATATTGTAAAGATAGTCTTCTAAAATATATACAATAGGAAAAGATGCCTAAAACTGGTTTCACGGTTTGTTTATCATCTCTTTACTATACAATTAGAACTCAGTAAGCACACCTAAGTTTGAGTAATCTGAGTATGAAAAGATATTAGATTGGGTAGAGCCCCATGCATACCCACTACTAGTTGTTGCTATTGGAGCAGATGATGTTTGAGCAGCAGAAGTGGAAACTGAAGTTGTACCAGCAGAACTAGAAGTGAGTCCACCTGAGGAAAAGGTTTACCAGAAGAATTTTAAAAAATTGAATATTTGAATTGCATCAAAGAAGCACTACACATAAGTGAATGGAAACAAAAGAAATACAAAAGGCTAAGAATGAAAAAGGAGGAATACACTATATATTAATCATTACAAATTCCAGGAAGCAGCATGAAAGATTGAAGATCATGTTAGTATATAGTTTTTATATAATCT